ATTTGGCAAAACAACAGGTAATCTTTTCTAATGTGGAAAACCTTTTTTCTTTGTTTAGGTTTAGTTTAATTGATTAAACATGTACACATATGTGTTCCGATTATGGAAGGGGGTGTTACCTTAAACTAGCAGTGTAATTTTGAAAATTATATCGTGAATTGACGCTAGTTAGAGAATCATTAAAGATCGGGAAACGTTGGATAGCTATTTCATTTTAGTATGGGGCTCCTCGGTGATGTATATCCACAACCTCATAGGTAGTCAAACGTTCATGTCCCGTAGAAAGCATTTGATTCTTAAATGATTGAATTCTAACTCAGTGGCATAAGGGTCAAGTGCTCACCTCGAGGCTTGACAATGGTCTTTGGTTCGATCCCCGATAGGATCTCGGATCAACATTACCATTTTGACTTAGTAATATTTATTGTTAGATGGTCAACAGAAAAACTTGAGTCCTACGGCACATCAGTCGCACATTGAACAGCTCAGTAATAACGTCCCAAACTGTGGGGCGAAGTGATGCGGGTTTGTATCCATAAAATAGCGTCAGTTATATCGAATTTATAATTACACAGGTTTCCCAATCGACTATCCCAAACCAAGGTACAGTTGATATCAAGTTACTTTGACTATTAGTTACCTTATCACAGGTTAACCGAAAGAATCCGATTAGCATTTAAGTTCTACTAAACAATAATGATATTTATCACTTACTACTTAGTAATCAATTAATTGTAATGAGTATCGACTTTTTCATTGATTTTATTTTAAAACAGGTACAAAGAAACAACAAGTAGACAGTAATATTCTCTGTCTCTCTATCTGCGTATGTATCTATGATTTTTCAGCATAATTCGTTTGACAACAATAATGCAACGATGGCGACTACCGCTACTATCAACATCAATGATCGTTTCTTCATACAAATCATAATCTTTTCGAAATTTAATTTAGGTAGGAGCTGAATAAGAGTGAATACTCTTTTTTACTTCCATACACCAACTTGTGGATTATACCCATGATCTCTATCTCTCTCTCTTCCTCTAGGAGGTAATAAAATGGTGCTCTTTTCTGTTCTATGTGTGATGTTGTTATTTTGTATGTGACCGCATTTGAATCTTCTTTTTTTTTTCGTTAATTTTTTTTGCCTTATAACATTGTAACTATGGTTGTTTATATCAATATACAAATACAGAATTATTATTAGGGATTATTAATTTCTATATTTATAATGAGTTTCTATGTGTATTTCGATAGTTGGTTTCTCGTTTGTTTGTTTGTTTTTTTTGTACAGTTTTTTTATACGTAATTTTCTCTCTTTTTTTATACATAAAAATGTTTCTTTTTAACCAGTTTATATATATTCATTTATATACATATACATATAAATCTATTAACTTATTGTTAGCTGATGATGATGATGATGATGATAGGCGATAATTCTCTCCATTAGCCTTTATTATCAGTTTCTATATTGAAGATTCATTTATTTTCTTTCTATCTAGTCTTGTTCTTCGTTTTTTTCCTTGTTTCACCTGGGAGTTCCTTTTTGTTATTCAGTTCTTTTAAATAAGAAACTGAATTGCTTCAATTATTGACCATTGAATAATGATAACAGAATAAACGGTTTATGTGTGTGTGCGTACGTACATGCGCTCACTCACATACTCACTTGTTCGTTCCTTTCAAACATCAAAACAGACACTGGAATCGGAGAAGAGTAAAAGAAAACCGAACTACAAGTAGCAACACTGTTTTCTTTTTAACCATTATTCAACATTGAATTGTATTTAAACCTTAATCATCAATATTCTCCTTCATTGAAACTTGTTCAATTTTTTATGGCTGTTAGGGAATAATTCATAAAAAGAGAATTTGTATTTTATTTAATTAAGAAAATGTGAAATCAATGAGCGCGCGGGGGAGGGGTAAGGGTGTCCTTCTTTCTTTTTTTTTCTACTTTGGGACACTCAATCAATAAACAAAGAATTACTATCCATTATTATTGTCACTATGTCAACATGTTTTTTTTTAATGTAAATGAATAAAATACATTTCAATTGTGCATTTGATCGATGTATTTATTCTTTATTATTATGATGATGATGATCATCTTAATTCTTAGCCTTTTTATTTGTTTTTATGAATCATTTTATTGTTTGTATTATACATGATTGTTTTGTCACCTTTTTTGAAATTTTAATGATTTAAGAACAGTTTTATTGTTCATTTAATGAAAATCAATGAATGAATGAAAAGAGGGTGTGTTTTTTCCTTTACACAATTTCTCTTTATATATATATATATATATTTACATACAATAAATGAATATACTATTATTTGATAGTTGAGAGAGTTATCTTCATTTATGTCATATTCAGTGTTTTGTTATCGCAAGTTGTTACACTCTGTGGTGCAAAATCATCTACAGATCAACAAAAGTATAAATCCACTGATATATATATATATATATACATCCTGTACGGATTGCTTCGATATAGTCATATCACAAGCATTTCTTAGCAGAGATAGATGGTGGCTAGTGGTGTAATTAACTAATAAATGCACATAGGTAAAGGGTGAACATGTGTATTAAGCTGTTCAATAACGAAATATTTAGCTACGAGTATAGGAACGACAAATCATCAGCCAGTTCTTGGCTGATCAAAATTATTTTTAAAAAACACCTTTTGTAAATGGATAGTTCATGAGAAAGAAAACAAATAATATTACAAAGTGTAAATAGATCTTATACAACTAACAATTTTATCACTGTCTCCCACAGGTTAACATGCCTGTAAATTTGAAACACAACGACATATAAATTCGTCATTATGAAGATCCTATTTCGAGCCCTTAAAAAGACCCAAATAGATTTTCCGAATTTCCCAAATTCTTCCTGGCTAAGGAATCAATTTTACAATTTAAGATTAGAAGTTAGGGCCCTAATGTACAAATACTTAGTAGCCATAGAGTTTGAAAGCTTACGGTTAAGATTAGGAAATTAGAATTAAGATCGGTATTATGATATTGTGGTCAAGATTTAGGATTATTCGCTGGATATGTACATCCTACATACAAAGACTCGAGCATTTAATACGATCACTTCATAAAAATCGTAATTTCTGGTTTTCATTTTTAACCCTCTCAGCGCTATACAGAAGTGCTTATACAACTTGCGTGAAATAAGACAAATCACTTATCTCCAACTTTAGCTCAAACGCTTGACAGTTGTTTTCTCGACCCTGATTGACTTGTCGTTGTACTATTGTTTTGTTGATTATCAATTTGTTCATTTATGTGTTTATTTTTGTATTCATGTCAAGGATATTTTAGAACATCGTAAAGCCGCGATTTTATGATTGAATCGTGTTCAGCATTCATAAAACACCACCCCATCCACTTCGGTTGGAATAGTGGTGGATAATATCACTAGCCTCGTGCTATTTGGCACTCGAACGAACTTCATAGTAATTAGGCTAATCTTCACATTGCGACTTGGTCGATAGAACTAAACCATCAATGAAAGATTGGACGTCGGTCCCTACTCAATGATCAATTGGTCGTAAATGCCACGCTTATACAAAAGTTCGGTAGAAGTTGTGGACTTATATTACAAATCGTTTTAGACTGTAAACTGTTGAAGACGTCATGGGTGGTTACCAGGATTAGGCAACCACGTTGACTCTGATATACATGTTACGCAGGAGGATTTTATTATTCGTCATGAAGAACTCCGAGGAATTGTTAAATGAGTACAGTGCTGATCAATAAGTGAGATCCATTGATACAATATGACTGAGTGATCCTTGCTCACTATACCAAATTATTTTTAGATTACTCACACTCCAATGAATTAAGAACTGAGTGCTATTTCGCCTAACTCCTCCATTTCACTTCAATTAACTCTCACTTATTGTGACGTACTAACCACATTGAAGTTGGTCAAGCCCTTTGAGGTAAAGCCTGTTGGTTTTTCTGATAGATGAAAACCAGACTATAAGGCAAAACATATCCGCTACAAGTATGTTTTTAAGGAAAATCGTGGTGCTTGGGTCAAGTATACGTTGCATGCATACCGGTAACACATGTTTCCACTTATGAATCACTTGGCATACACATAGGCACACGCGTTACTTGGGTGGGAGAATGATCACCACTCCCTTCACTTGTATATGCTACTCACTATTTTTATTTTACAGATCTGTTTTTTGTTCTGATTAGGCCGATTTTTTGCTGTAAGGCAGACTATTTTTCAGGATCGTTGCGTACACCTACATACCACAATGGTACAGGTCTAGACTTACAGCTATATATATATAAAGGACAGTCGTAAATGATTACTTTGATGAATGGCCACCCAAGTTACAGCATATGGAGTGGTTGACTAATCCGATATCCTCCGAACGCCCAAGTTAGATCGTGAGGTTACCCTCACTACCCAGCAGGATCACAAGGAGGCTTTTAGTCGGATTTTACTGCTTAAACTAAGACTCGCATGTTGCAAATTCCCTAGCACACAAATCGACTTAATTCACCATTAAGTTACTTCTCACCAAATAATAACTGTCTTGACTAATTATACATTTAAATTTTACTGCAATACTTTCGTCTACTTAAGGTGTTCACCTGTTAGTACAGTTTTTGAGGATACAAGATGAGAAAATGACTCAATTAGATCACATATACTATATGGTCTTTTTTTTCCCAAATGTCATCTTACCTCTATCGATAAGATTATATAATCTTATAACTAAACTGGCTTATCTTTCTCCTCAACATCAGTGGTTAGAAGTCAACAATCTAGACCACTAGATGACTTTCAACCGGTATGCGTAACAGGTTCAAAACTCTCCCCACTTTATTATTTCACTTTAAAAAGACTAGTTATGTCTATAGCCACGTAAACCTGTATACTCGGTTGTGAAATAATTGCGTAAAGACAATATGTGAAATTCATATTCAACATTTTTAAAGCAACAGTTGACTTGACAATGATCCGGATACATTCAGTTGACCATTTGATCTATTCTCTCTTAATACACAGAAAGTTTGGAAAATACTAATGCTTCTGTTTTGATAGTCTTCGGAGGTTTTTCATTTATTTCCTATAGTAATAGTAAGCACCTGACAAGTCGAATTTCCTGCCCTGTATCACTTCTGCATGTATTTCGCAGATAATTTGTTATTACCTGATATTATGAATTGTCTAGTCTACGAAAAGAACTTATACATATTTATCATTGGCAATACATGAAAGTGCCCAGGACAGAGTGGGTTGGAGAATGCTGGTCGGCGGCCTATGCTCCATTAGGAGTAACAGGCGTAAGTAAGTAAGTAATACATGAAAGTAATCAGAAAGATGAACATACAAATGATTCATTTAATTATAAAGCTTCGTTTTCATAATTAGAAAAGTAACATGCTCTTGTGTTATTATTCTTTCAGAAGACTGATAAATAATAATGATCATACATTAGTCCTTATCCGTCTTTAACTCAGATGAATTTTTACGCAGCCTTACAAGTTTTTCTACAAAATAAATTACTTGTTTAGTTAAGCAATCATATTAATACCTTCACACTGGATTAAAGCATTTGTACGAGAAACAGGAAAAAAGATATTGCCGCCGAAACGTTCGTATATAGGCTACGAAAAGACTGGTTAAAACAGGAAATCAATTAGTTAGGCTACCTGTGAGGGAACAGTTTGTTTCAATTCGTTTTGGACAGTTTCTTGTAGAGCTATCTAAAAAAAATTATCATTACCATAGCGCAAAGACCAAACATACCTGCTTACTCAACGTAGGCATGATTTGATGCTCATTTATTCGGCAGCAATTTAATCTACAGGTGGACATCAGAAAATGGTGCGCTTGTTAACTAGTGAACAACACTGGTTCAAAACACATGTCTTTAATGACAGAGAAGGACACTAATTGATATCTATTTTATTTATTTAAACACATAAACATTGGTGCAAAGGGGCATCAAAATATATACGAACCACACAAATCATTGAGATTGTGATGGGATGCCGCCTAGTTGCTCAAACTGAAGCAGATGGTTTACTTAGGGGACCACCTCACCCCGAGACTTTGGCCCACAGGTTTGAATAACATCTAATGCGGTTCCATAATAACCAGTGGACAAGAATAGTTTCATATGTCATTTGTTCCTCAGCCTCATGCCCACCATTGGTTCGAGATCAGGATTTTACAACCCCAATAGGTAGATCCTCCGTGCCAACTTACGCGGTTTAAGCGCCGGATATAAATTGGCAATAGCACAATACAGACACATATATAAAGTAGAAACATGTCTAAACAACATAAACCAACACTTTTTAGAAAAACTAAATTCTACATAAACAATGCGTCTGATTTTTCGAAGAAACCAAAGTCTAATAAAGCAGTATTGGCGTGGATTTAATACATAAACCAATCTGTTACACTGTACTCAGATATGTAACTGATTTCCCGATTTTCGCTAAATCGTTCAAATGGTTGTGGACGGAATAGAAGAAGCTTTCGCTTAACAGGCTTCTGTGTCTAGTAGCAATGGACCACCAAATCCTCCAGGCAGGCACCTAGGTATGTTGACAATAAAAGAGGAAAAAAAAGTTGGCAAATCATAATATAATGCTGTCCTTGATCCTTAAGAATAGGTCAAGTTGTCTCATGAAGGACTCCTGGGAAGTCGCTCGGACTAGCTCGGCCGGCAGCGAGTTCCAGCATTTGACAACTCTTAAGGAGTAGAAGTTGTGTCTACAGTCCGTTCTGCTATGTTGTATCTCCAGTTTCTGGGTGTTACCCCTTAGGTTAGTGTTCGAACTAAGCTTAAGTAGGTGTTTAAAAGAATGTCCAGAAGTGTTAAGAATACTATAAGCCACTAATAGATCACCTCTAAGACGTCTATACTCTAATGGGTAAAGGTCTAGTGAATGGAGGCGCTCTTCGTAAGGTTTAAATTTGAGTCCTCGAACTGATTCCGTGGCTCACCGTTGGATACGCTCCAAAGTGTCCTTATCCTTTTGGAGTGAGGGAGGAAGTACTATGTTTCCGTACTCTAAATGGGGACGGATGAAACTATTGAAGATTATATGTAAAGTTCTTCCGTCAAACTGTCCAAAAATGCGCTTCAACGTTACCAGTGCAAGGTTTGCTCGGAAGGCATTTCTGTTACAGTTAGCGTAAGACTTTAAGTCATGGGGCACCAGGACTCCTAAATCTTTTTCGACTTGGGATACTACTAGAGAGGAGTTTCCTAAGTTGTAACTATAGTTTGCGACATGTCGCAGATGGACTACTTTACACTTTGAAGTGTTAAAGGTAAGTCCGTTATCGTCTGCCCAACTTTGAAGTCGAGTCAGATCCTCCTGAAGTGCCTGTATATCGTCTTGGTTGCGTATCTCTCTCCAAAGTTTCACGTCGTCGGCAAAAAGTAATAAGTCTGATGTTACCTGTTGAGGAAGATCATTTATGTAGATCAAGAAGAGAAGAGGCCCTAGTACTGAGCCCTGGGGGACCCCACTAGGACATTCCATAGCTTGAGATAAAGTGAAATTAACCCTAACCTTAAAGTGTCGATTTTTTAGGTATGAAGTAAGCCAGTCGATTAGAGGTGGTTTGATACCTAGTCGTTTGAGCTTGTTGATAAGACACAAGTGGTTAACCTTATCAAAAGCTTTTGAGAAATCAAGGTAAATGACATCAACCTTTCCCTTGCGATCGAGGATGCTTGTCCATCTGTCCACCGCAGTCAGCAGGTTGGTTATACAAGAGTAACCCTTCCTGAAACCATGCTGTTGGGGTGAGAAGAAATTTAAGGACAGTAGATAGTCATTTAAACCGTCGCATATCAGGGACTCCATGATTTTTGAAGGTATTGAGAGAAGAGCCACCGGTTGGTAACTTGAAGGTTCGCTGCGCCGAACTCCTTTGGAAATTGGTGTGATGTGAGCCAGCTTCCAATCTCCCGTTAGTTTTCCTCGGCGTAGCGAGTGGGAGAACATCACGCTAAGCGGCGTTTCCAGGATTGAGGCTGCTTCCCTCAGTATGGCAGAATGGACCATATCCGGGCCAGGAGAAGTGTCTAATCTTAAGTGCTGCAGTTTCCAGAACACCAAGTCAGCGCTTAGGTTCACTTCGGAAAGTCCTGTGAAACTGCAGATGACTGTCATCAGTAAAGTTGATGTCGGTCGGTTGAAATGTCTGAGAGTAATGTTCAACCAGAAGGTTAGCGGCGTCGCCATCGTTGTTGGTCGGACCGTTAAGACCTAGCAGTTGGGAAACTCCAGTTTTGGCTTGACGAAGAGAGGCTGCATAACGGAATAAGCTTTTCAGATTAGAGACAAATTTGTCCATAAGCTTTGTCTGGTACTAAAGCCTGTCTTCTCTTATAGCCTTCGTGCATATGTTCCTTATATGTTTATATTGCATGTACGCTCCGTCGTTGTCAGTTCGTTTGTATTGCGCCTAACAGTGCCTTTTGCGGCTTAGCAGGCGAAGGGTACGGTTCTTGATTATTGTAGATAGCTTGCAGCTTTTGGGAACCGTTTGAGGAACTGAATAGTTCGTAGCACATAAGAGCATGTGCAGTAAGAAGTCCCAATGAGCATCCACATCGAGTTGAGGGTGAACATCCCAATCCACCTGTTGTAGATAGTCGCGTAGAGCTGGCACATTCAACCGTTTAAAATTCCAACGCAAGTTATTGGTGGGATACCTTAGCTTAGTTTTGCTGACAAAACTGAAGGCTATGACGGCATGGTCGCTTTTTCCCAGGGGAGCTAGGATTGAGAGGTTGTCAACTAGGAATTCTTCGTTTGTGAATACACAGTCTAAGTGCGACGGTGTCTGACTGTTTCTCCAACGAGTTGCCGACCTCACATAATCCCAAATCCTCAATGAGGTTGAAGAACCGAGCTTCAATTGAGTTATCGCCTCCAGTATACGTATGTTCTGCGAAGTTGACTCTAGGGAGATTAAAGTCCCCTAGAATCAGGATGTGTGTGAAACCGAGACGAGTAGAGCGGGATAGTTCTTCCAGCATACAACTGTCGTACTCAATGTCGACGGTGGGCTTCCTATATATGAGTCCGACTAGACACCTCGAAGTAGCAGGCAATCTTACAGAGCACCACATGGATTCCTCAAGATTGTTAAACTCGAGGTTATGAACTTGGTGTACCTCCAAGCAAGAACGTATGTACATGGCTACTCCACCCCCAATTCCTGATTTTCTGTCGTTGCGAAACAAAGACATCCCAGGTACTGCTAACTCCTGGTCCGAGAACTGGGATGTCCAAGTTTCAGTTATTCCTATCAGATGAGCCTTATGAGTATTGCTAAGTTCACGTAGCTCATCCATTTTGTTTGGTAGACTCGCAGCGTTCATGCTTTCAATTTGAAACGCGTGAGCTTCTTCCTGTTTGTCTGTTTGAGCCTTACGTGAATGGACAGGTAGTCTACCTATATAATGTTTGCTGAGTTGGTAGGCCCTGTCATTTACACGTCTTTTTGTCATCGAGACAGTCCACAAGTGGAATGGTCAGCTCCAACTTGCTTTTGTGCTTGGTCCTAGCTTCATATGGCCTATCCGGGTGCATGTGGATTCCAGCTGGCAACCGACGTCTATTGGCACGAAAGGCCTCCAGAGTTGCAGCTGCCATGTGGGAGGATGGGAAAGTTATCTTCATTAGCCGGGGTCTGAAATCACCGTCCTTCTTGACTAGTCTCGTCACATGCTGAGTCAGTATGTTTTTGAGCCTCAAGGACTGTTTGATGGATTTCCATCCCCTGATATTGGAGTTTGCTTGATTAGGGTCCGTGTTTTCCGGTACACCTTGCACGATTATATTCCTTCCGCGGAAAAACTGCTTGCGAGATTCCTTGGGGATGTTCCGGATGAGATTGCGCTCAGAATACGGTATGTCAGGCAGTATTCTTACATTCCCATCTGATTTCAGTAAATGACTCGCTAGCAAGACATCCTCTACGTCGGTAGCGTTCTTGAGTGTTACACGAAGTAGCATCGGGTGATTTTGATGCTTAGATTTCTTTCCCCGAGTGAGCCATGTGATCGTCAAAGGCTCTATTCTTGGAAGTTCGAGCTTCTTGTTCAATTCTCCCCAGAGCATCCTATCATTTTTGTCCTGCAATCTGAGAGGAAGGTCAGGATTGTCAACGAGGTTCATGATTATGAGATAGTCATCACGAACCGTTATTGTCGTCCCAGGTTTTCCGGTGCGTTCAGGTTTAATACCTTGTTGTTTGGAGGTCGAAGCACGTTTATGAATCCTTGGCTCTTTGATGACCGGACGGACATTCTTGGGGGTAGACTGTGCGACCAGATCACCAGTTGTTTTCCGTACAGCAACACTTGGGATGCTCAGCTTAGGCGGTGACACCTGGTTCTTTTGAGCTCTGTTAACGTGGGTCGAGTCACCTACAGGGTTTTGGGAACCACTGTTGTGTTCAGGGACCCTGAGCTGGGAGACCCGAGTTTGCTTAGGGAGTCTAGTACCGTCGACGTAATGATGGTGCTGAGCCTCGACACGTCATCATTAGTGTTGACGGATGCTCCATCGGTGGTATACCTGTCGGCATCCCTATTTTTGTATCCGTCGCACGCTCTTGTTTGTCTACCGGTTTTTTTACTATCGTTATCCAAGTTAACTGACAACTTGTTCCGAAGACCTGTAAGTAGGACGATGATGTTACTCAGAAAGACTACAGCGTCCGTGCTGCACGTTACACATACCCACTTTTGGTCCGACTTGCTGAGTCTATTGTAAGCAGTTGCTGTGAGATCTGTGCACGCCTCGTGGAACCAACCTTTGCAGTTGTCGCACTGCACGCCAGATGTAACAGCGAAACGGCATCCAGGTCGTTTGCATGAATTCTTCATGACTGTATTGACGTAAACTGTGTTTTAGATGCTTAGGCTTAAGCTAAGACTAAAAAATTCACAGTTTACGTCAATACAGTCATGAAGAATTCATGCAAACGACCTGGATGCCGTTTCGCTGTTACATCTGGCGTGCAGTGCGACAACTGCAAAGGTTGGTTCCACGAGGCGTGCACAGATCTCACAGCAACTGCTTACAATAGACTCAGCAAGTCGGACCAAAAGTGGGTATGTGTAACGTGCAGCACGGACGCTGTAGTCTTTCTGAGTAACATCATCGTCCTACTTACAGGTCTTCGGAACAAGTTGTCAGTTAACTTGGATAACGATAGTAAAAAAACCGGTAGACAAACAAGAGCGTGCGACGGATACAAAAATAGGGATGCCGACAGGTATACCACCGATGGAGCATCCGTCAACACTAATGATGACGTGTCGAGGCTCAGCACCATCATTACGTCGACGGTACTAGACTCCCTAAGCAAACTCGGGTCTCCCAGCTCAGGGTCCCTGAACACAACAGTGGTTCCCAAAAACCCTGTAGGTGACTCGACCCACGTTAACAGAGCTCAAAAGAACCAGGTGTCACCGCCTAAGCTGAGCATCCCAAGTGTTGCTGTACGGAAAACAACTGGTGATCTGGTCGCACAGTCTACCCCCAAGAATGTCCGTCCGGTCATCAAAGAGCCAAGGATTCATAAACGTGCTTCGACCTCCAAACAACAAGGTATTAAACCTGAACGCACCGGAAAACCTGGGACGACAATAACGGTTCGTGATGACTATCTCATAATCATGAACCTCGTTGACAATCCTGACCTTCCTCTCAGATTGCAGGACAAAAATGATAGGATGCTCTGGGGAGAATTGAACAAGAAGCTCGAACTTCCAAGAATAGAGCCTTTGACGATCACATGGCTCACTCGGGGAAAGAAATCTAAGCATCAAAATCACCCGATGCTACTTCGTGTAACACTCAAGAACGCTACCGACGTAGAGGATGTCTTGCTAGCGAGTCATTTACTGAAATCAGATGGGAATGTAAGAATACTGCCTGACATACCGTATTCTGAGCGCAATCTCATCCGGAACATCCCCAAGGAATCTCGCAAGCAGTTTTTCCGCGGAAGGAATATAATCGTGCAAGGTGTACCGGAAAACACGGACCCTAATCAAGCAAACTCCAATATCAGGGGATGGAAATCCATCAAACAGTCCTTGAGGCTCAAAAACATACTGACTCAGCATGTGACGAGACTAGTCAAGAAGGACGGTGATTTCAGACCCCGGCTAATGAAGATAACTTTCCCATCCTCCCACATGGCAGCTGCAACTCTGGAGGCCTTTCGTGCCAATAGACGTCGGTTGCCAGCTGGAATCCACATGCACCCGGATAGGCCATATGAAGCTAGGACCAAGCACAAAAGCAAGTTGGAGCTGACCATTCCACTTGTGGACTGTCTCGATGACAAAAAGACGTGTAAATGACAGGGCCTACCAACTCAGCAAACATTATATAGGTAGACTACCTGTCCATTCACGTAAGGCTCAAACAGACAAACAGGAAGAAGCTCACGCGTTTCAAATTGAAAGCATGAACGCTGCGAGTCTACCAAACAAAATGGATGAGCTACGTGAACTTAGCAATACTCATAAGGCTCATCTGATAGGAATAACTGAAACTTGGACATCCCAGTTCTCGGACCAGGAGTTAGCAGTACCTGGGATGTCTTTGTTTCGCAACGACAGAAAATCAGGAATTGGGGGTGGAGTAGCCATGTACATACGTTCTTGCTTGGAGGTACACCAAGTTCATAACCTCGAGTTTAACAATCTTGAGGAATCCATGTGGTGCTCTGTAAGATTGCCTGCTACTTCGAGGTGTCTAGTCGGACTCATATATAGGAAGCCCACCGTCGACATTGAGTACGACAGTCGTATGCTGGAAGAACTATCCCGCTCTACTCGTCTCGGTTTCACACACATCCTGATTCTAGGGGACTTTAATCTCCCTAGAGTCAACTTCGCAGAACATACGTATACTGGAGGCGATAACTCAATTGAAGCTCGGTTCTTCAACCTCATTGAGGATTTGGGATTATGTGAGGTCGGCAACTCGTTGGAGAAACAGTCAGACACCGTCGCGCTTAGACTGTGTATTCACAAACGAAGAATTCCTAGTTGACAACCTCTCAATCCTAGCTCCCCTGGGAAAAAGCGACCATGCCGTCATAGCCTTCAGTTTTGTCAGCAAAACTAAGCTAAGGTATCCCACCAATAACTTGCGTTGGAATTTTAAACGGTTGAATGTGCCAGCTCTACGCGACTATCTACAACAGGTGGATTGGGATGTTCACCCTCAACTCGATGTGGATGCTCATTGGGACTTCTTACTGCACATGCTCTTATGTGCTACGAACTATTCAGTTCCTCAAACGGTTCCCAAAAGCTGCAAGCTATCTACAATAATCAAGAACCGTACCCTTCGCCTGCTAAGCCGCAAAAGGCACTGTTAGGCGCAATACAAACGAACTGACAACGACGGAGCGTACATGCAATATAAACATATAAGGAACATATGCACGAAGGCTATAAGAGAAGACAGGCTTTAGTACCAGACAAAGCTTATGGACAAATTTGTCTCTAATCTGAAAAGCTTATTCCGTTATGCAGCCTCTCTTCGTCAAGCCAAAACTGGAGTTTCCCAACTGCTAGGTCTTAACGGTCCGACCAACAACGATGGCGACGCCGCTAACCTTCTGGTTGAACATTACTCTCAGACATTTCAACCGACCGACATCAACTTTACTGATGACAGTCATCTGCAGTTTCACAGGACTTTCCGAAGTGAACCTAAGCGCTGACTTGGTGTTCTGGAAACTGCAGCACTTAAGATTAGACACTTCTCCTGGCCCGGATATGGTCCATTCTGCCATACTGAGGGAAGCAGCCTCAATCCTGGAAACGCCGCTTAGCGTGATGTTCTCCCACTCGCTACGCCGAGGAAAACTAACGGGAGATTGGAAGCTGGCTCACATCACACCAATTTCCAAAGGAGTTCGGCGCAGCGAACCTTCAAGTTACCAACCGGTGGCTCTTCTCTCAATACCTTCAAAAATCATGGAGTCCCTGATATGCGACGGTTTAAATGACTATCTACTGTCCTTAAATTTCTTCTCACCCCAACAGCATGGTTTCAGGAAGGGTTACTCTTGTATAACCAACCTGCTGACTGCGGTGGACAGATGGACAAGCATCCTCGATCGCAAGGGAAAGGTTGATGTCATTTACCTTGATTTCTCAAAAGCTTTTGATAAGGTTAACCACTTGTGTCTTATCAACAAGCTCAAACGACTAGGTATCAAACCACCTCTAATCGACTGGCTTACTTCATACCTAAAAAATCGACACTTTAAGGTTAGGGTTAATTTCACTTTATCTCAAGCTATGGAATGTCCTAGTGGGGTCCCCCAGGGCTCAGTACTAGGGCCTCTTCTCTTCTTGATCTACATAAATGATCTTCCTCAACAGGTAACATCAGACTTATTACTTTTTGCCGACGACGTGAAACTTTGGAGAGAGATACGCAACCAAGACGATATACAGGCACTTCAGGAGGATCTGACTCGACTTCAAAGTTGGGCAGACGATAACGGACTTACCTTTAACACTTCAAAGTGTAAAGTAGTCCATCTGCGACATGTCGCAAACTATAGTTACAACTTAGGAAACTCCTCTCTAGTAGTATCCCAAGTCGAAAAAGATTTAGGAGTCCTGGTGCCCCATGACTTAAAGTCTTACGCTAACTGTAACAGAAATGCCTTCCGAGCAAACCTTGCACTGGTAACGTTGAAGCGCATTTTTGGACAGTTTGACGGAAGAACTTTACATATAATCTTCAATAGTTTCATCCGTCCCCATTTAGAGTACGGAAACATAGTACTTCCTCCCTCACTCCAAAAGGATAAGGACACTTTGGAGCGTATCCAACGGTGAGCCACGGAATCAGTTCGAGGACTCAAATTTAAACCTTACGAAGAGCGCCTCCATTCACTAGACCTTTACCCATTAGAGTATAGACGTCTTAGAGGTGATCTATTAGTGGCTTATAGTATTCTTAACACTTCTGGACATTCTTTTAAACACCTACTTAAGCTTAGTTCGAACACTAACCTAAGGGGTAACACCCAGAAACTGGAGATACAACATAGCAGAACGGACTGTAGACACAACTTCTACTCCTTAAGAGTTGTCAAATGCTGGAACTCGCTGCCGGCCGAGCTAGTCCGAGCGACTTCCCAGGAGTCCTTCATGAGACAACTTGACCTATTCTTAAGGATCAAGGACAGCATTATATTATGATTTGCCAACTTTTTTTTCCTCTTTTATTGTCAACATACCTAGGTGCCTGCCTGGAGGATTTGGTGGTCCATTGCTACTAGACACAGAAGCCTGTTAAGCGAAAGCTTCTTCTATTCTGTACACAACCATTTGAACCATCCCCATTACGCTAGTTGTCCAAAGCTAAGATATTTTTAAATGGCAGCAAAAGATTAACTGATCAACCCATTAAGGAACAAGAATTTTTTGGTAGAAAGGCTGGAATATTTATAAAACTCACAAGAAAAATAAGTGTACATTGTTCAAATGGTTGTGGACGGAATAGAAGAAGCTTTCGCTTAACAGGCTTCCGTGTCTAGTAGCAGGGGATCACCAAATCCTCCAGGCAGGAACCTAGGTATGTTAACAATAAAAGAGGAAAAGAAATTGGTAAATCATAGTGTGATGCTATCCTTGGTCCTTAAGAATAGGTCAAGTTGCCTCTTGAAGGACTCCTGGGAAGTCGCTCGGACTAGCTCGGCCGGCAGCGAGTTCCAGCATTTGACAACTCTTAAGGAGTAGAAGTTGTGTCTACAGTCCGTTCTGCTATGTTGTGTCTCCAGTTTCTGGGTGTTACCCCTTAGGTTAGTGTTCGAACTAAGCTTAAGTAGGTGTTTAAAAGAATGTCCAGAAGTGTTAAGAATACTATAAGCCACTAATAGATCACCTCTAAGACGTCTATACTCTAATGGGTAAAGGTCTAGTGAATGGAGGCGCTCTTCGTAAGGTTTAAATTTGAGTCCTCGAACTGATTCCGTGGCTCACCGTTGGATACGCTCCAAAGTGTCCTTATCCTTTTGGAGTGAGGGAGGAAGTACTATGTTTCCGTACTCTAAATGGGGACGGATGAAACTATTGAAGATTATATGTAAAGTTCTTCCGTCAAACTGTCCAAAAATGCGCTTCAACGTTACCAGTGCAAGGTTTGCTCGGAAGGCATTTCTGTTACAGTTAGCGTAAGACTTTAAGTCATGGGGCACCAGGACTCCTAAATCTTTTTCGACTTGGGATACTACTAGAGAGGAGTTTCCTAAGTTGTAACTATAGTTTGCGACATGTCGCAGATGGACTACTTTACACTTTGAAGTGTTAAAGGTAAGTCCGTTATCGTCTGCCCAACTTTGAAGTCGAGTCAGATCCTCCTGAAGTGCCTGTATATCGTCTTGGTTGCGTATCTCTCTCCAAAGTTTCACGTCGTCGGCAAAAAGTAATAAGTCTGATGTTACCTGTTGAGGAAGATCATTTATGTAGATCAAGAAGAGAAGAGGCCCTAGTACTGAGCCCTGGGGGACCCCACTAGGACATTCCATAGCTTGAGATAAAGTGAAATTAACCCTAACCTTAAAGTGTCGATTTTTTAGGTATGAAGTAAGCCAGTCGATTAGAGGTGGTTTGATACCTAGTCGTTTGAGCTTGTTGATAAGACACAAGTGGTTAACCTTATCAAAAGCTTTTGAGAAATCAAGGTAAATGACATCAACCTTTCCCTTGCGATCGAGGATGCTTGTCCATCTGTCCACCGCAGTCAGCAGGTTGGTTATACAAGAGTAACCCTTCCTGAAACCATGCTGTTGGGGTGAGAAGAAATTTAAGGACAGTAGATAGTCATTTAAACCGTCGTATATCAGGGACTCCATGAGTTTTGAAGGTAACGACAGAAGAGCTACCGGCCGATAACTTGAAGTTTCATTGCGTCGACCAGCTTTGAAAATTGGTGTGATGTGAGCCAACTTCCAATTTTCCGGTAATTTGCCTCGGCTAAGCGAGTGTGAAAACATCACGCTAAGCGGCGTTTCCAGGATTGAGGCTGCCTCCCTCAGTATGGCAGGATGAACCATATCCGGGCCAGGAGAAGTGTCTAATCTTAAGTGCTGCAGTTTCCAGAACACCAAGTCAGCACTTAGGTCCACTTCAGAAAGTCCTGTGGAATTGCAGATGAAACTGCCGTCAATAAAGTTGATGTCAGCCGGTTGAAATGTCTGAAAGTAATGTGCCGCCAGAAGGTTAGCGGCGTCGCCATCGTTGTTGGTCGGGCCGTTAAGACCTTGTGTAGTGCAAAATCATCTACAGATGTTCTAAAGTGTAAATTAACTGATATATACATCTAATGATATGTAACCAGCATTATAGGCAGAAATGGGTAGTGTTTAGTAGTAGAGTCCAGTGTCAGCTGGATGTACTTACCATATGCCGTGATTGATGTTTACCAAGCACCGTTTGTTTCAAATACCGCGCCATCTGTTTGTCGACTGTGTTAAGTGGTTCAAAAGGCTGTGGACGGAATAGAAGCTTTCGCTTAACAAGCTTCCGTGTCTAGTAACAATGGATCAGTAATAGCTCCAGACAAGAATCTAGGCATGTTAACGATAATAGGGGAAAAGTAAATTGGTAGACCATAATGAGATATTATTCTTAGTCTTTAAGAATAGGTCAAGTTTCCTCTTAAAGGACTCCTATGAATTTTCCTGGACTAGCCCAGCCGGCAGCGAGCTCCAGCACTTGACAACTCCTAGGGAATAGAAGTTGTGTCTACAGTTTATTATGTCATGTCGTATCGCCAGTTTCTGGGTGTTACCCCTCAGTTTTATGTTGAAGCTAAACCTAAGTAGTTAAAATAGCCACTTGCTTGTGTAATAAGGTGAAGCTTAATTCATTTTTATCGTTTTTTTCCACTTCTCCATTGGTGTTTAGAACTTCAACTAGTTAGTCTTTTTTGGCACATATATACATCCTGTGAGGATTGCCTCGATAGGGTGATCTTATCCGCAACGCAACCATGTAAACTTAATGTATCGCACACTGTCATTTGTGCGTTCAAGTAACCACAGATTTTGTCATTTCATAATGTATTTTTAATTAAATAACTAGATTATGTAGTTAATTTTGCTCTGTTTTTAATTTTTATTCGCCACGTCTGACTGCGTTACACTGTACGTCCATTGCACGCTGTGATGATATCTCAAGTCATAGTGAGTTTATTCACATAGTTGATTGTTTCCAGATAGACTGTCAGTGCATGAATTTACTGAAGAAAGGTTTGTTGTACTGTAAACTATGTTTCTATGAACAACTGCCTGTTGTCTTCAGTATGAAAGCAGTATATATGTAACCTTCTTTTTTTCTTAGGTAAGTTCAACTGGCCTATATTTCCTGTTTTAGTTTTATCGGCTTAATTATGTCCATTTAACTACTTTGAGCAACATGTCTTTGCAAGTGAAACAATAACTATGACAATTGCTTAGTTTAGTGTTCGTGGTTGTCGTATAATTCAGTTTAGTTGAAAGAATTATGATATACTTAAGTATAGTGCTTGAAGCCTGTAACGAAACAGATCAGTTTATTAAGTAGAGTTGCCTGTTTCTAATGTGTATACGGATTCAGATCAGTCTGATTAAAAATAGGAAAAAACGTGCCTTTGATGCTGTTGCTGTCATACATTATAAGATAGCGATAAGTATGTTTGGTGTTTATTTCTAAACTGTACATCTATCACTGACCATATTTCATGATAACTGTCACTAAACAATTTCCCCAGCAATAACATCGGTAGCAAGATAGCTAAGTGTCTGAGCTTTTAGTTGCCCGTAAAACAGCAGTATACAGTCTTAGAAGATGAGTTTTCTGTGTTTCAATTAAATGCAGCTGGCTGTGGACAAATGCTAAGAATCTTTTTGACAACTGGGACTTTTAGTTTATCAGACACTTACTCTGCTTGTATGTTTTCCTGTTAAACTAGACACAGATGCATGGGAATACTTAAATGGGAGCAAAATAATAAAAACATTGCAATACGGTACTAAGCCCATGTTGTACTTTGCGCAAGTAATAGTAGCTGACCTTATCTAATATTCATGAACTCAAGGTAAATCACAACTGCATAAATTCTTTGCTAAAAAAACATGTAATTTGGTTATTTATCTATTCCACATTTCTGACTAAATTCATCACTATTTTTTTTCATTTAGAATGCAACAGGAGTGCCTTCACAGACCCTAAAAACTGTTTCGCCCTTGGAACTGATTACGGGAGACCTAACGAATAGCAGATTATAAAAAGGATGCTGGACGTCCATTTTAGTCTCACAACCACTTCCAGGATTTTTTGACTTCTTTTACTCTTTCGTTTGGAAAAAAACAACAAAAACTGCAGCTTAACATTACCAATACAACTTTTAAACGGGAACTTGGTTTAAACCTTTGTTTGATATTCGATTCTTAATGAAAGTTCTTGAATAAATTTTTGAATATAATGCTACTTTGTTTTATCTACTTAATCGTTGCAAGAAACTTGTGATAAGCGAGCCTCTCAGCACCTAGTTCATGTGTTCAAATGGTTGTGGACTTAATAGAAGCTTTCGCTTAACAGGCTTCCGTGTCTAGTAGCGGGGGGTCACCAAAACCTCCAGGCAGGAACCTAGGTATGTTAACAATAAAAGAGGAAAGAGGAATTGGTAAATCATAGTATGATACTATCCTTAAGAATAGATACACTTGCCTCTTAAAGGACTCCTGGGAAGTCGCTTGGATTAGCTCGGCGGGCAGCGGATCCCAGCATTTGACAACTCTTAAGGAGTAGAAGTTGCGTCTACAGTCCATCCTGCCATGTTGTGTCGCTGGTTTCTGGGACTAAGCTTAAGTAAGTGTTTTAGGGGATGTCCAGAAGTGTTAGGGTTATTGTAAGCCATTAGGTCACCTCTAAGACGTCTATACTCTTGTAGTGACTCACGTTTATCACGAGAACACGACTGGTTTAATAAAAACAATTATTATTACAACCAACTGTACCAGTGTTTGTTTTAATGTGCTTTTGTTTGACTGTGCTAATGACAGCTATTTTGTGCTTCCATTCTTATACTTACACTTTGATTGTAACTTCGCGCGAATTCGGTTACGTTCTGTAACCAAGCTTGTATCCTGGCACGATCTCGGTATCCTTTCGATGCCACGAGATCGCCAGCAAATAAACATCGACTTGGTCCATTAATTGCCTTCTGGTATTCGGCTTCTCGGGGATTTTATGGAGTCATTTGGAACGAGCTTCTTACGCCTTCTGATCTAATTGGCACGTGTTTCTTGGTAGCGGTGTTCACAGTTAATCTCAACTCGACGCCACGCTACAATTGGTAATCCCAATTCGAATACAATTGGTAATCGCAACTCTTCTACAATTGGTGACCCGTATTTTGGAACACGCCTCAACTTCTGATCAAATCTTCTAAAGAAGCCAATTCGGTGAGTCTATGATTTATCTATCCACGTCTGTCGTATATTTTCATATTTTTTAATATATAATATACGCGACATGACGGATAACGATAAGAATAGTATTAATATAATAGACTCACACGTATGTGTACCGAATCCTTGTCACTTTTTATTCGCGTGATGATGAATTCCACGCTTTATTCGAGAAATGTTACCCTATTAACGATTCTCCTCGCTGACCCGGCTGCTTGGTACGGAATGCATACGCATAAGCATATCCGTCTACCACCCAGCACCAAATGGTTAAGTTGAACGGTTTCACTGCCAACTTAAAAGTGTTCTACGAGCACACGAAAACGGCAACTGGCACGAAACCTTACCGCTCGTTCTTTTAGGGGTGAGAACGAGCTTAAAGGCAGATATCCAGTGTTCCGCCACTGAGCTTGTATACGGCACGACATTGCGTCTGCCCGGAGAATTCTTCACACCACGGAGCAGACCTAATTTCGGTAAATCAGACTACGTCCATCGACTGTCTGCATTTATGCGAACGCTGTCTCCGGTGTCAACTCGAATACAACATCGACAGGTCGCTCTCCCTCGAGAGTTATCTACCTGTTCACATGTTTTTGTACGAGTAGATTCGGTACGCAAACCTTGGCAACAACTTTACGAAGGCCCTTTTCACGTGATCGCTCGTCACGAAAAGACCTTCAAGGTTGATCGATATGGACGCGTCGAGATCGTCAGCATTGATCGTCTCAAACCAGCACACGTCGATGACAGTGCCCTATCTGACACCCTGAGATTCAATGCTAGACCTATCAAACCTAGCGGGATCCTTAAATCTTCTTCAGGTCCCACGCTAGATGCATCTGAGACCTCATTCTCACGTCCCGGTCAACAGCACGCGTCATCTGCACCGTCTACGGACGAGACGATAGTCTCACGTCCAGATCAGCAGACCACGCCGCCTCTGACCTCGGATGAGATTGCAGGCTCACGCGATACGAACGAGACTGTCGTCTCACGTTCCGGTCGCCGAGTACGGTTGCCCGTACGCTTCCGCGACTAGTCGCACAGTCAACAACCGATACGGTGTAGGAATATTCCTATGCTACTTGTATGCTACACTCTTCTTTTTTGATTTTCTTTTTGTTTCCTGAGCCCACGCCTTCGACCATCTCCGTTTGGTTCCGTCGACTTCAGTCAACTTTGGCGAAAGCTGGATTGGCCACCCACGCTCTTGTCAACGTACTCAGTCGATATATTGGTTTCGAATGCTTGGCACACGCTTGGTCTCGAACTTGGTCGTTACGGTCGCTTCTGGTCTTTTGGCTCAACGTGGTTTCGTCCTACGTCTGCAGCGTTTCTGGTACGCAGTCCTACGAACGCCCTCTTCAGATTCTGGATACAAACCACTCTGGTGTAGCATGCCAACTCGAGCAATAAATACAACACATCGCTCCTGGTACTGTTCTCCGAAAACGACCCTCGTTGGCAACTCGACGATCAACGATCGCTTTCCTGTTCGCCAATTCTTCCGTCCTACAATCGCTCGTCAGCCGATCAGTCCCACGATTCAAACCGCTATTTATCGAAAGTGTAAACCCTTTCTAGCGGGGGGCTCCTGTAGTGACTCACGTTTATCACGAGAACACGACTGGTTTAATAAAAACAATTATTATTACAACCAACTGTACCAGTGTTTGTTTTAATGTGCTTTTGTTTGACTGTGCTAATGACAGCTATTTTGTGCTTCCATTCTTATACTTACACTTTGATTGTAACTTCGCGCGAATTCGGTTACGTTCTGTAACCAAGCTTGTATCCTGGCACGATCTCGGTATCCTTTCGATGCCACGAGATCGCCAGCAAATAAACATCGACTTGGTCCATTAATTGCCTTCTGGTATTCGGCTTCTCGGGGATTTTATGGAGTCATTTGGAACGAGCTTCTTACGCCTTCTGATCTAATTGGCACGTGTTTCTTGGTAGCGGTGTTCACAGTTAATCTCAACTCGACGCCACGCTACAA